TCCAAATGGTCGGATCGACATTAGTTACAATGATGGTCACAGCCATCCCAAGCCTTACCCTCCGCCCACTTGGAGATCAGAGTACACACTTCAGCACAACTTAGAGTTTGCGTTACCTCGGGATGTTGCTCCCCAAGGAGCTGAATTGGATACTCGGGATCGTATAGCCATCAATGCTTTCATATCAAGCTTTGTCTTGCCTTACAAAGAAAATGTTGACACCAACCACTAAAAAGAGGATCCTATTGCATTGATAGTATTTGGCATGAAAAATGTTGATAACAACTAAGGAGATAACAACCAAGGTGATAACAACTAAGGAGTTGAAAATGGTAATACTCCATATCTTATTGCCCAAATGATGACAACAATAAATGACGCTTAGGGGTCTGCATATAAAGTTCGTCAACGTGAATATTGCATTTAAATAGGGTATCTAACTTTCTTGTGCTTCAGAAGTGAAGAAAGATAATGTATCTTCCTTCTTACGAAGCCATGACACTAAGTTTTGTCCAAGCATATAACAGGACCAAGAGGTGTTTTTTCTGTCATTAAGAGAACCACCCCAAATTGCAATGTCAAAAACTTTTGAGGGTGCATAATGCACACATCATAAGACCCTATCCCTTTGACATGTCTCGTAATCATTTTGTCAGCTTCAATATAAGATACTCTTGGGTTACTTTGAAACCTGGCACTCTGACAATAAAATAATAAAACAAAATACCAATTACTAATTTAGTTGGATTTCCAATTTAACTAAAATACAACATATTACCTATTTTATTATTTTATTTTTTAAATATATATTTGAGCTTCATTTTTTCATTATTTATTAATGTATATATATATACACCGTATAAAAGTGTATTCAATTTACAATATTTATATACATTTAAAACACTTAATCTAACTAAAAAATATTATTACATGAATTTTCAATTTCCAGATTACATTGTTATACACATTTTGATTCTTAAATGTTGCACTATTTAAGATTTCAACATATTCCTTAAAAATACACTTTTTAACTATTAGCACCGGTTTGCAAAGAAAAAAAGAAAAGAAAAGAAAACAAATACAAAAACAAAACTTTAGACTAGTCTATTTTATATACTTTGAGTTTCTTTCAAATTCAAACACTTTTTATATTAAACATCTTTTCTTTTAGGAAGAGTTGTTGTCCTGTTAAAATATATCACCTCTCAATTTAAATTATTTTGTATTTATTATTTTGAAAAGTACGTGCTTTGCTTCTTCAAAACTATTGAAAGTATGTGTCGATCATATAAAAAAACGTAACGGATATTTCAACGCCCTGAATTACTGTCTTGCTCTCTCTCTCTCTCTCTCTCTCTCTTCATCTTTCTATGCAAAATTTTTTGTGAAGAAAATTATTAGATGTTTTTATTCAGGGTCACCTTGAACCGCTTTTATTGGAAACACGTCTTTAATTAGTGTGAATCAAATTGGTTTTCAAAAAGTTAATAGTAAACCTTGAAAAGACATATCATTTCATGAATAGGTGTGCAATAGCCTATAAATTGTAGAGTAATCCAATAATTTTCTAAACTAACTTCCTTCCGTCCATGCAACCAATGTACTATCTCGAGATATATATTTATCTTGAATTTGTGGGCAACATGATAATGGAATACTTGGTAAATGTTAATGAACGTGACAGTCTTGAAGCATTTCATAGTCCAGACTTTCCAACAGATCGACCAGAAGTTTCTTACTCTCTCAAAGTATCTTACTCTCTCTTACTTTAATATATTTTTATTGATATTTTATTGAACTGTTATTATTTTATAATGCTTTATTTGTTATTTATATTATGCTATAACTAAATGTTTCGGTTTAACTTCATTGTGATCATATTTAATTGAAAATTTCTCATTCACTGTTTATATAATGTGTTTATTGTTTTGTGTTACTTTTCTATCTAATTTGTTCCTTTTATGTTTAATTCTTTTATATGCTTTGCCTAATTCTCTCCGAAGTATTTATGATTCCATTATATAACATGTTAATATTTGGAAGTCTCCTCTATGAAGATTTTTGAACATATGTTCTATGAAGATTTAGGAATAAGAATACTGAGAAATTAAGAAACTCTTTAGAGTTACGTTTAGAATAAAACGGCATTTAGTTCAACCAGATTAAAATATACATTAGTAATATGCGTATTACATATAGATATATATTTGTGTGTATATATCATCAAAAGCCGATTTGTATTTACTTCAATTAATTTAAAAATAAATAAAAATCATGAGAAATTATTTCATCCCAATACATCCTATTCTTCAAATAAATACTCACATGAAAGTCACATTTTTTTAAAGGAAAGTATCATAAACTAAAACTCTTTTTTCATTTTGAGTTCTTTTTCTTTTTCACTCTTTTTCTTTACTGCTAGGACCGATTGATTAAATTTAAAACTCTATCATGCATCACGTAGTGCAAAAGCTATTTTCTAGATTCTTTCGTAGAGAGAAGTTTTACAATCCTTGACTAAACACTCTCTTTGAATAATAAATTATCAATATTAATTAATAAATTTAAAAGTTGTGTTTATTCAACCAACACAATAAAAAGCTCATAACATTCTTGTATATAAAGTTTTTCAATTTATAAATAAATTTTAACATTGATTATATCTCATGTTCTTTCCTTTCACAAAAATCCGTTATCCTCTTATATATTCTCCTGGGAAATTTTAGTTGTCTCTTAATTTATGAATAAATCGTAATACTTATTTTATACCATCTAGGGATATCAATTTTTATCGCCCCGCCGGGGCCCCGCCCCGTCCCGCCCCGTTAATAACGGATATAGGAACACTTGTTATACCGTTGGGGCGGACATGGATATAAATTTTGTACCCGTCGAGGGTCACGGGGCGGGTAAGGGTTCAATATACATATCCTAGGGGCCCCGCCCCGCCCCGCCCCGCCCCGCCCCGCCCCGCCCCGCCCCGCCCCGCCCCGCATATAACTATATTTAATATATATATATATATATATATATATATATATATATATATTAATAAGTTATTTTAGCGGCTTACCCAATTACCCATATCTTATAATCCTAATTTGGGATGTAAACTTGGTATTAAATTTGCTTTTGTTTTGGTTATGGTGGAAGTTGGAGCTTAGAACTTCTTGTGATTTGGTTGTATTAAACTTTTATTTTTGTTTATTATGTTCTCTGAATTATGTTATGTGCATGTTATTTATTTATTTTTTATTAGGATACATAATTTTATTTATGTTGTGTCATTCCTAGGCTTTGCACATTTAAATAGCAGGAGTTTAAGTTCCAAAAAGTGGGAGAAAAAAATTTGTTAGTGGGGCGGGCACGGGGGTACAGTATTTCCTAACGGGGCGGGGTTGGATATGAAAATCCAACCCGTCGCGGGTCTCGGGGTGGGCATGGACTTGACAAAAATTAAAAGGGGCGGGGCGGGATTTAGAGAAACCCGCTCCAAACCCGCCCCGTTGCCATCCCTAATACCATCCCTTTCATCTATTTTTAGTCTCTTATACATTTTTCTTAATTTCACAAAAATCTATTTATGTACTATCGATGAATTTTAATAGTTTGGAAAATAAATTATGACGGTGTGTCTAAACAACTTTTTAGGTCTCTATATAATTTGTTATCATGTATATTGTATTCTTTTCAATCATATAAAATAATAATAATAATAATACTAGATATAAGACATGCAAATATAATTATTTAATTTTTATTACAAGTTTTGAAATCTATTGATATGAAAATATAATATTTATAAAACTTATTGTTATATTCTAATACATCATATGATTTGATATAATAAATACCTTGTATAATTGATTTAATAGTCTTTTTCATTACTTTGCAAAATAAAATTATATTCTTCAATTGTTCGGCTACAAATACCATATGAATATTAGGATTTCCATAAAGTTTACATAAAAAGACTTTGAAGATGATGAAAAGTGTCGAAAGGGTTGACTTAGTGATTTTCAATCCTTATTTATCTTTGAGATTAATAGTCAATTATTTAGCACTTTTATTGCAAGTTACCGTCAATTAATTTGTAATTCATTTTAGATTTTTCTTTTTCCATTTGATTTCCAAATTATTTTTTAGTTTTCACTTGAGCTATTTTGCTATCTCAAAATATGATTAAGTTATAATCACGTGCATTCCATGTGGCTCTATTTAGTATATATATATAAATAAATAAATATATATATATTTTCTACCCACATATTACCTATTTTTTTTTTTTGAATTTGTTATTATTATTTGTTTTTATTATTAAGTTTTTATTTGCTTTTTGAAAAACAACAAGTTTTAAAAAAGAGCAACTAGAGATAGATATAGTTTTTTAGCAGTATAATAATTTTAAATTGGAAATCAATTGGTATTTTATTTTAGTTAAAATAAAATTAGTAGAAGAAAAAAATTAAAAACAGTAGAAGAATTTTAAATTAATGAAAATTAATTTTTTTACTTTAGTTAAAATTAAAATTAATAGAAGAATTTTAATCCAAGTCAAGGGACCTAGGATGTGCAATTGGTATTTTAGTTAACAACAAAATTGGAAACCAACTAAATTAGTAATTCGTATTTTATTTACATGCGTTACACTTGCACTGTTATTAATATAGAAAAAAAAATAATAAACTACATATTACTTAAATCAACTAAATAATTATTGAAAATAAAATCGCCTAATATAATAAACTTATAATAATGTTAGTGAGATTAATTTACAATCGTCATCACTATTCATCTTTCCAATTTGATCTAGGGCGAGAGAGTGCTACGGAGCATTAATTAGAAAATAAAAAGGTTAAATTGTTAATCGAAACGGCAGTGTTTTGTTCATAATAATTTAGGCGGGGAAATTGGCGCCAATTCTAGCGCGCCAAATCACGGGAAATGACTTACACGCGTCGTATTCGTGTCTGAAGGGGAACAAAGATCCATTTCATAAAATTAGGGCACACAGTCAAGCCCTCTGTTTCTCTTTCTTCTATTCCTGCTCTCTCTCTCGCCCTCTCTCTGCACTTTTCTGTCTCCATAAGCATGCACTGTGAATTACAACATTTGAGGAAGAATTAATTGGTGAGCTGTTCTATAACTCCATAACCTTCTGATTTGATAGATTATTTGTTATTTATGGAAGCAAATCTATTAACATTATTTTACATCATTTAGGTTCTATCGCTTCAAGAGAAAACGTTGGATCCCTCTTTGTTTGCATCATTTTTCTTTGATTTTAGAACAAGAATGTGTAGTTCTGGTTTTGGGTTTGCTTTAAAATGACCTAATAGTCGAATTCATCTTTTTCCTTTACTTGGATGGTGAGATAGCAGAGTACTACAAGTTGATTCAGACATTATTAGTTACGAAAGCTCTGACTTTGCAGTATTCTCAGCAATTTGTTTGGGTTAGTTGGCACTTTATACTCATGCTGTAATTTTCTCTTCTTGCTGTGAATGTGAATTTTCTTTATTTGAGCAACAGTGTTGTATAAATAGGGGAATTGCATTTTTAACCTGTAACTTTTACAAGATTATTATTATTATTATTATTTTTGATAATTAACTTTCACATGATTTAAGAATGGGTATTATATAGAAGTATGCAATTTTTTATTTTTTGTTTTTAGTAGTAGAAAACTAATCATTTTCTCTCTTGTAATGGTTGAAAATCGGAAAGAGAGAACCAAGTGAGTACCATGTTCTTCTTCTTTTTCATTTTTCCATTTTAGGTGAAGAGATGAAAGATAATTAATTCTGCCAATTTGTTCTTACTCTTTCTTAATCCACCATCCTAAAGGTTTTCATTACCTTAAGTTTTTAGTTAAACATAAAACTAAATGTATATTTTATTACATGCTATTCAATGCTAATGAAACTCGATTTTATTGGCACTTCAAAACTATTTAGTTTCACCATTTAATGACTCTTAGAGGTTTACAGGTTGGTTAGTTTTTCTTTTCATGCAACCGTAATTGTTTGTAGATTTGACATCTTTCATGGACTATACAACTTATTGAATCACATAAAATTTTATGTTCATATTGTGAGATTTTATTTTTCCTTTACTTCTTTCTCTGGTTAATTCTATGAGTGTAGCAGTCACAAAACCTAAAAATGTCACTTTAATGTTTAGTGTTTAATTATTTAGAGTTTAGGGTATGTTTTATTGTCACTTTGTTTCAGTAGTTGGGGATGTGAATGTCATAATCTTACTTTTTAAGACATTCTGCTCTGTGGCAGTCACACAATTATTCCAAAGAGGCTTCGCTCTCAAGTTCCGCACCCGAGTTTGCGATTTGGGAGCGAATTCGTACAAAATTCGCGAATTCAATTTTTGCAATTCGCGAATTTGTTTTCCTACGATTTCCATATGAATTCACTTTATACAGCCAAATTTGTTAGAGTCCCAGTGATATGGAACACCTATATTACCATATATGCATTTATTACTTACACTTTTACTTAAACTCCACGTGTGCCCCAGCTGTATGGCATTGCTATACTACCATATATAAATATATTAATTATACATGTTTGAAAATATACTACTAAAAAACTTCCCAATTGGAAAATATTACACATAAATCACGCATTTATTAGTGAGAAAAGTTAGCTTATTTATTACATATATCATTAATGGAATAAATAATAATGAATATACTTGCATATGGATTTAAATAAATAAAAAAATATAAAATATATATGTCATGACCTGATATAATTTTATTTAAACCTAATATACAGACGCTCTCAAGACGCTCCCGCTTTCAAAATTTTTAGACTTTGACACTTTCGCGCACTCACTTTCGCTCCCACTCTTGCACTCGCTTCCGCTCTATGTGACTTAAGCTCTGCCTGCTTGTTTCCTCTATGTTCTCTCCACAGTCCCCACTCTACATTATTATTTGTGTGTGAAATTTTCATTGCAGGCGGTCCCACATCTTTAAGTTAATTTGCTCCCTTTTTGTCGTTGTAAAATTCTTGTTATTGATGGTTTTAGCAGAAAGAACTTGAGCTCAGGTCACTTTCACACACAAACAGAGATATAACTTGGTTTGTTTTGTTCTACTGCTGTTTTCTGTTGGTTTTCTTTCAGGAATCTCAATGTCAAAATATTTATTTGCTTTCATGGGAACAAGGCCAAGGATTTTTGTTTTTATTTCTTGAAATTTCTGGTCAGAAGGTGCCAAATTCTGTGTGATCAGTTTATAACTGCTGCGGATTTCTGCAGGTGAGTGAGCATTTTTGTTGCTGCCGTATGTCTATGAAATAGTAGGCATAGGAACATAAGTTATATTCTCTGGTGATGGATCTACGGAGTTGCAGTCAGTTGCACTTTATCCAGGCTATCGTGGGTGGTTTGGTGATAAAAGTCCGCAATGCAGATTCTCATGGAAGGCCTGCTCTTGTGTTCAAGAAGTTGAGAGATATATATGAAAGTGAAGATGCCAAAAATCCTAATCCAGTATCTACACTTAAAACACATGATAGATATGCGGAAAACTTATGTCTGCCCAAAGCAGAAAGGAAAATGAAGAGAAGAGTCCTTGAAACAGATGAGTTTAGTTGCAGCGTCAGTGATAATGAAACAGACAATGACCTAGATGATGTTAGTTTTGGAAAAATAACACTAAGACAGCTTAAGGAGAGGTGCAAGACAAAGAAAAGAAAGGTTTCAGAGTCGGTTTGTTTGACTCCAACACAAGATAATTCTACTTTGCAACTGGAGGAAGATGAAATTGATCTTATGAAGACTCTCAATTGTTGGAAATCAAAGCTTTCAAAGAATTTGATGGTGAAAAAGAAATGTGCAAAGAAACATGTTTCTATGTCTTCTGAAAATGCCTTTTCAGTTAAATCTGAGCAAATTACAAGTGCTGTAGAATCCCTGCATTCTGGTGGGGATTTACCCACTCCTGTTAGTGTCAAAGTTGAGGTTTCTAGATCTGAGCATGGCGCTTGCCAGAATATGACTGATGTTCCTGATGATTCCTTTTCAGAGTCAGTTGGTTTGACTCCAGCACAAGATAATTCTATTATGCAACCGGAGGAAGATGATCTTGATCTTAAGGAGTCTCTAAATTGTTGGAAATCGAAGCTTTCAAAAAATTTGATGGTGAAAAAGAAATATGCAAAGAAACATGTTTCTATGTCTTCTGAAAATGTCTTTTCAGTTAACTCTGAGCAAATTACAAGTGCTGTAGAACCCCTGCAATCTGGTGTGGATTTTCCCACTCCTGTTGGTGTCAAAGTTGAGGTTTTTGTTCCTGATAATTCCTCTATAGGTTGTAATGAGCAAGAAGTTTTTTGTCAAGCTGTATCCACTGAAAATATGGAGACTGTCAACTGTGAGAAAAAGATTATGGAACCAGCATCCCTTACAGAAGAATGCCAGAATTGCATTCTTAATGAAGTGTCCTTTGATTATGTAGTACCAGAAAGGCTCCTTTCACCTAGAAAGGTAAATAATATTCTTCTATTAAATTTTGATCTGGTTTTATAGTTTTTCTTTGAAAGTAGCTTACATGGAATTCTTTCACTTTTCAGGTCATTTCTCCAACTTCTCAGGAAAGGTTATGTGAGGCCATGGATTCTGTAGAGTTAAACACCGACATAAAACATTATAGTAAGTCACAAATTTTTATCTAGGTTTACTTCCACATCATATTGATAGCATTCCTCCTAGAATTTGTTTGAATGATATCATTGTTGTGTCACTTAGTACCTTAGACATAGAGTGTGTTCGGTTTGAAGGAATTGGAAGTAAAGGAAAAGGAGGAATAGCTTAAATCGTATTTGGTTTAGAAAATGGGGATGGATTAACTGAAATACATAAGTTCCTAGAGGTTTATGCATTTCACTTATTGACGGCCCTTCAATCTGTTTTTTTCTAGAGTTTTATTCAAGCAAAATAGAAGCGCACATATCATTTCTATGCAGTCAAAACCCCTCTAAAGCTAAATTGAGTTCTATGGGAACCTAAAATTCAAACCAATATTAGACAATGTTGCCCCTCAGAGGCCAAAAAAAATTATTGCCCCTCAGAAGCCTATGTTGCATTTAATTGAACATAAGTTTTCACTATTAGTACTTTTACATATTTTGCAAATTGAGACCTTTCTTGATGTAGTTTCCTCCTCCACTTTTATTTAAGCATTAGTGAGGTGGTCATTTTGATTTCAAAATATTCAGACTAAGATTAATACTGCATAGTGTTGCTACCAAAAGCCTGAGTTGAATCCTATATACATCTATTTCCTTTTGAGTTTCTAAACCTTTACAGACCGCAATATGGAGTCCTTTTCCAATCCAATTTCTTCCTAAAAATTTAAGTGAGGTGCTTGTAACTATTTTGGTATATTCTGACCAATATTGAACACTTCTTTCCCCAAATGCTTGAACTTGTAACATGCAAGTGTACCATAACTGTAAATTCTTACTATAAAGGAGAAGTGGCTCCAAGTCATGCCAAAAATGGCTGCAATTGTGCCCCCATCCTATTCTGCCTAACCCTTGACTCCGCCAAATTCATCCTTTGAGACTCTACAAGGGTACGTTGAGTATCAATCTCCATTTGTTGATCCTGAAGCTGCTGGGCTGACTCCGCAGCCCCTTTCTCAACCTCCTCATCCTTCCCAGAAGACTCCATCTGCACGCGATTGCATTATCCCGATATGGACTACAAGCTGCATTTCAGCATGCCCGAACCAAGAAACCGACCACATATCTTATCCTCAGTCATCGGAGTATTGCCATCTAAAGTTGCTTTACACTGCATCAATCATTTGCTCCTGTGTTAAGTTACCAAAAGTCAATTGTCAGTACAACAGAGAATTACATTAATAGATAATCAATGTAAAAAATTATACTAACAGTTCGTTCAGGTTCCTTATGTAGAGCCCTCGAGCACGCTGACAGGTCCAGCCCTTTCCCGGTTTGTAGTTAGTCTCCTATTGTAGAACTCTATCCTACCGATATCCTGTTGAGTCTCAGAGTCTCACTCTATCATTTGAATGCAATATGTTCTTTTTCTTAAAAATATTTATATAAACCAAAAAAGAAAGAGAAAAAGTTACCTATTAAGCAAAAGGATCAGTACTACCAACTCCTCACGATAACGGACAAAAGACTTATACCCATGCAATGATTAGCTTAGAGTTTTTACCAATTCTCAATATTGTTATTTCTTCTATCCTGCATTGTAGTTTCAACTTGTCATTATAACAAACTATTTATCTGAAATTTATACAACCATATACCAGGACACATTCACATGAAAATCCTTAGACAAGATTTTATTACATATATGATCCCAATCATCCTGTGAAACACCATCATGAGGGTGCTGGTGTGCATCTGTTTCAGATGAAAACTGCTTACAATGCAATGAAGTCTTTATCTATATTCCTTAAATTGACCAGCCAAATATATATTTATGGCATATGTGTGCAATCAAGATCTTTATTAAATTAACTCTAGGAAAACTGTTTATTGATATAAATAAATTTGTCCCTAATAAATTGAGATCAATAAATGCAAAACATTACCTATATTTGCTTGTATAACTGTTGTTTGTTGGTCTCCTTCACCTGCTTTCTCTCGTTTCATCTAAGTGGCATATACTTGTTGCAAATATTTCAGCTTCCCTTCAGGTATCAAAATCCACACGTGCCACTCAGCATTATGTATAAAATTTGAAAGTGCAATGTTTTACTTTGAGTGGTAAAAAAAAAAAAAAAATTTCTACTTTGACTTGCCTCAGCCTTTGTGGGAGCAACTGAAGCAGCAAAAAGTGTTCATTAATATCAATTCCAAATTTTCAACATACCAAGTTGAAAATAAATAAATAAAAGTAAGTACCTGTAACATGCATGAAATTTAATAAATAAGATACACAATCAACTAATGCATATTAAAACAATTTACACACGCACACGCACACGCACACAAATATAGTGATGTTATGATTCTACCTACCCACTCTGCTCTGGATGGTGTTGAACTGTATCTAGTGTATTTTACCTCTATGGTATTGGGCTTGCAATGGTGACTATTTTTGTGGCTTTAGCACATTCCTTTTGGTCCCCTCCAAACTATTATTTATTCCTGAGTAGGATTCTTTTGCCTTTTCTGATCTGTTAATTGTATATTTAGCCTCTCATAATGTTTACAGTTTGTTTACTTAGAATAGAAATTATAGGATGGGATGATATTCCTTGAAGTTCTATGTTTTATATGTGATTTTGGTATTTTGGCAATGTCTTCATTTCTTTTACTGTTCCTCAAATTCTACAGAAAAATTCGTCCTGTTTTGGTTTTTGAACAGCCCAAAATTATTGTTTGCATTCTCTCTGTAATTTACTTTTCTTGGGTCATGATTATTTCAGAATGTAAGTGGAAACTTTCCCTTGGGAAACAAACTGAGAATAAGACTTCATCAGTGGAATCAGATCTCGACAATGCTGAAGTAACAATAAATCCTGAGGGGCCTAAACAGTTTAATCGGAAAAAAGTCACTGTAAACCCCATGCAGATTAATAAACTGAACAATGACAAGAAAGGTTCTCCACCTAAAAGCACAGTCAAAGATTCCTGTCTTCAGCGTTCTCCACCTCATGGTAGTACGTATACATCTGTCAAAAATTGTTCAGAGAGTGCCATTGCATTTTCACAGCGGCAGATGCATGACATTGAATCTCTAGCAACAAAGCTTATGAAAGAATTGAAATTCATGAAGGACATTGTAGAAGGAAAATTGCTCTCTGATGCATCCCCAAGCCCCACTGTGCCCACCGAATATCACGAGGTAGGCAACTTTCCAAACATGCAGGCATCTTAGTGAAGTACCCTGTTGTTAAATGCTGCATGAACTTTTATTTTGTTTTTAATATTCAGTTTTAGACTAGAAAATTTTTTAGATGCTTTTTTTTCCTTGTAAAGTTTCCTCCTGGTATTGATAAATGGTTATGTATATTTTGTCTGTAATTCTTGATGTTCTTTTCTATACCATATATTAGGTGAAGAAGCGGGCCTTTGAAGCCAAAGTACTTTTTGTTCCCTAAATGTTTCCTGTTTTGGTAAATTTCTTTCTACTAATTTATTTAAATAGAGGGTAATGTTTTAAAATAAAATAAAAATTTATGCAGAAGTTCCACTCAGGGTAGGAACAGAATTTTGTCTCTCGGTGGACAACATTGGTGGTTAGATCTAATCACCTATTATTTTGGTTAAAGCCAATGCTATATTTTATTTGTTGTCTCAAATCTCATATGAAGGCAAGATTAGTGTATTTCTGTTCATCTACTTACGGGTCTTTGTAACTTTTCCCAATTCTCTCTGCACCGAAAGGGCAGTACTGCAAGTTTGCAACTCAACCTTTGGCATCCTGCCCAATATTCTCCAAGTGCCCCTCATTCAGAAAAAAACATGGGATGTCTTGTGAATTGTGAAAAAAGCTAACAGTGGAGTGTCAACAGGGTTACTTCCTAAAAAGTGTTTTTAATTTCTTAAGGTGGATAAACTTATGGGTCTTTGTAACTTTTACCCTTCCATGATAAAATCTCACTTTTCATTATCTTGCTTTTAAGGATAATAATATCATTTCTTTCTCGGGTTTGGTATGCTTAACTGTGTGGTTATTGTTGATGCATGTAGAAACTTTAGCCTATATTGCAGTCTAGGTGATTATTTGTTGATTTCTGTCCCCAATTAAAATAAGACAGGTTATAAGACTAATCAAGCTTACTTAAGATTGGAATAAATTAGAAGAATGGCATGACCCAATGTGTTCCCCCAAAATCAAGGGTGCTGGGAGGGGTAGGTTGGACAAGAACTAACCTTGTCATTATTTGTATAACCTGGCTGCTGTCATGATTCAAACCTGTGTTCTCACGGTTGATGAGTTTTCACCAGTGAACCAATTGGTGGTCCCTACAAGTTGCTAACTACTACGTTAGAGGACTACATACGTTTGGAACGGATACCTGCATACGTTTGGAACGGATACCTGCATACGTTTGGAACGGATACCTGCATACGTTTGGAACAGTCAAACAGTAAATTAATCTAAAACTTAAAACACGAAGAATATGTTTAGACCCACCTTTAGCATTCTTATGCTCCTTTTGGTATGAATGGTGAAAACATTGGAAGGAAAGGTTGGATGGGCGCAAGAGTTATTCCCAGAGAAAGGAAGGAGTCTATTTTGCTGTTGCTTGGTTGAGCAGGAATGGGTGGAGCTTTCCAAGTTATTTTATTTTATTTTATATTTTATTTTATTTTATTTTTTTACCATCTTCCCTTATTTTTTCAAATATTGAGACAAAGGGATGTGGTGTCTAGAGGAAGGGTCTTCCCTCTATTTCTCTTCTTATTACCCTTTACCAATTGACAGAAAGGATTTCCAATTTTCCATCCCTTTTCTTCTTTCCTTTCACGTTCTCTTCTCCCAAAACAGGTTAAGTTTGATTGGAATATGCATCTCATAATTTACAATAAATTCATTCAATATTTCCTTTTTTAGAGGACAAATTCTTACATTTAAATTTTATGTTAGATATACGAATACCCTATCTCTTCCATCTGGAAATCTTGGTTCAAACACTTCGTTACTGGTAAAGGATGCCTCTTCTTTGCATTTACTACGGTTCTTTCTACACGAGTGTCATAATCGTAATTGGAATTTTGTCCTTATATTCTTTAACTCTTAATACTTATTTGGAGTCTCTTCATATTAATGCTTATTTGGAGTTTGATAATATATTTGTTTTTGTGCCAGTAAACCTTATAGTATAAGAAATCCAACACATCTACGGAGTAATTGTTATTCAAACTTCTTTTTTGTATATCGTATCTACTGGTTCTCTGTGGCAATGTACAAAATATCATGCATATAGATGAACACAATGCAAATTTAGAAATTTGAATTATCCTTTTAATTAAATATATTATTTACTTTGACAGGTGAAAGAAGCTATAAAAAATGCAACAAAAGTTGAAGAAACATCAAGAAGGTGGCTGTCCATGATGGGCAGGGACTGCAATCGTTTCTGTAAAATCATGGTATATTTCTGTTGTCATATCCGTATTTTGGAGAACTGAAAGTTCAAATTGATTTGGGTAATGACTTATAGAATTATTTTGATTTTTGAATGCATTTCCATCCATGAACTGCAGAGATTGTCCGAGAAGAATGCTGCTGCTCCTGAAAATGCAATTCACAAGGAGAGGAAAAAGATTACATTTGCTGATGAGGCTGGTGGGGAACTCTGTCATGTGAAGATTTTTGAGGATGACATTGCTTTTCCGGACTGTGAAAGTGAAACACAAGTACTAGACTCACATACGTCGGGAGCAAATTGCTGATGATACATACCTTAGCATTTATAAATGCCGATTCCATGCTTGAACACAGAAATGGGGAAACCTGGACTCTTCTGGGGCTTCAATAGCCAGCACTCTAGGTATGTGCATCGATTGTGACGAAAGTTTGAAAATGCTTGGTAATTCTTTTTAGAAATGCCATCCTCAAATTATCTCTCATGTATTTAATCAGAAATGACAAAATTTGGAAATGCTTGTATTCCCGTGGATTCAGTTTTGTGTTCTTGTACCGGTGAAATCTTCATTGTAACGTAACAGAAATAATATCTTTGTTGTTTTTCTGTTTCAGAAATATAAATTATTACTTTATCTATACGTGCATATAAAATCTTCTTTAATGGTTAGAGAATTTCATCGATTGCTTTCACTACCATCACATTTTAACGATGCGCATTGCACTTGCCAACACCACATTGCTGTTCCAAACTCATCACATTAAATCTTGAACCTACCTTCTTCACTGATTGTATATCCTCTCTGCTTTATTCATCAGCTGCATGAGCTGTTGATTTGTTCTCAGTGCCCTGACCTCGGACGGAGTTCGATCTGAAACTTCACTTGTTTATCTCAACTCCGATGACTGGTCGGAGTCGTGCTTGGATCCTCTCCTTTAGTTCTTCTCACCAAGTATCTCCCGAGTCAATCCACAGTCCATCACATATATATATATATTTTTTCATCACATATATATATATATTTTTTCGGCATTGTATGTAAGCCCAATGGATAACAGTAGGATTTTACCGAATTCTGATAATTTTTATTTAAGTTTGTAAAGACCGTTTAACACATATAATGATCTATTTATATATTTTTGTCACTGTCCTTAACTTAGTAATTATATATATATATATTTTTCCTAATTTAATAAAATAGATTTAAGTATGAAATGAATAAAATTTATACCATAAGTAACATATAAGAAGGGAAAATGAAAATAAAAAAAATAATATAAGTCAAAAGGACAGGAGACTTATATAAAGCATAAGATATAGATAACGTGTAAATTATATATGATATTATTAATTATTTATGTTTCACTTTCATTAATATATTAATGATTATAGAGACCAATGTAAACTTAGATGAAATTCTAAATAATTGAACAAGATGGAAACTTGGTGTTTGTTTGAGTTCTCTGTAATCTGGTACTATTATTGGAAGGTAAGATTGAAGTGCTATTTTTTTTTTTTTTCTTGATTTGAAGACTGACAATTGTGATATTATTTTATTTTTTTTATTTGATGCCATAAAGTGAATTTCAACCGTCAGTTCCAATTTTAGCATTGAAAATTAAGTTCAAAAATTAATCAAGTGATCAATCACTACATCAAAATTGTATTCATAAAACACAGAGGACAGGTATATGATTCTATGATGAATATCATTTTCCCCATTCAGAGGGATCAATTTTTAATGAAGAAAAGTTGAGATATCAATTTTTTTTTTTTTTTTTTTGAAAGGAAATTGAGATGCCAAATTCTAAATAATTAAAAAAGCAATCCATGAAACTTTTCTCACAAGCCCACAAATAGTAATACTCTTTTTTCTTTTCAAAAATTAAGCATAGAGCTCCACAAAAAGAATTGAGAAAAATTGAGATATCAATTTATTTTATTATTTATTTTTTGAAAGGTAATTGAGATACCAATTTCTAAATAAAGTATAAAAGACACCCCTTAAGGTTTACAGTTTATGCAAATAGAACATCTATCATTTATTTTGTGTATATAAGTCATTTAAGTTTGAAAAAAATGTGGCAAAAAAGAGCTTAATGTCCATCATTTGTCAAAAAATGATGTGCATATTGAAAAATTGAGATATCAATTTATTTTATTATTTATTTTTTGAAAGGTAATTGAGATACCAATTTCTAAATAAAGTATAAAAGACACCCCTTAAGGTTTACAGTTTATGCAAATAGAACATTTATCATTTATTTTGTGTATATAAGTCATTTAAGTTTGAAAAAAATGTGGCAAAAAAGAGCTTAATGTCCATCATTTGTCAAAAAATGATGTGCATATTGCATATGATTATTTTAAGTTATAAAATCACTAAAACACCATTTTGCTCTCCCTAAAATGCCTCTAAGTAATTAAAGTCCTTCAATAATATGATGTCGTTCTTCCCGAACATTTTAGTCATTTTACACTTAGTTAATTTTTTTACCTTTTTTATATTAAGTTACAAAATAGCACTTTATTCTTTTCTTGCTCCATTGACACAGCAAACCCTTGTTGACACCAAAAATAAATGTTAAGAGGTTTTAAAAACATACAAGGAGGTATATACTATATGCTCTATATTTATATTATAAGAGTGTTTAATGCCCTTGAGTCATGACTCTACAAATAATTAAGGCCTTGTTTGGATGAGAAGATTTGGGGGATTAGGAAAGAAAAGAAAAGAAATGATAAGAAATAGGAAAATGATAGGGTCACCGAATGATTTTCCCGAATAAGTTCCAAATCTAACGTATTTTTGTTCACCTTATCTACTTAAACAACAGTTTCCAAAAAATAATTGTTTAACACGTAATAAATATAGCCAACCACATCAAATTCGGTGTTAATTCGGGGATTCCTTTTCGATTCCCCTATCATTATTCTAAGAAATATTGTGTTTGGATGGGAGGATTTGTAGAGAAAATAAAGGATTGTGAAGGATTTGGAAGGATATTGTATCACTCAAAAAATGAGAAAGTTTGGAGGGAAATGAAAGTGGGTTAGTGATACTTTTATAATGTCAAAATTAGCATCCAAAATTATAACATTAAACTGCCTAAAATTATAAATGAAATTATAGATGGAGGGTATGATAGTAATTCGATTACTATCATTTTTTTTCTTTAATCTCCTCTATTTTATCCAAATAAAAATATTAACATTTTCTTTCTTTTCTCTCCTATCTATCCATCTAAACATGAATGTAAATTATTGTTATTTTTTTCTTAATTTTTTATTTTTTCTCTCGTAATTAATATTATTTTTTCCTATCTTTTCTCTCCTACGTAGCCAAATGAAGCCACTGAAAAAGCAGTCGATGAGGCCTCTCTCACAAGCCCACAAATAGTTATACTCTTCTCTCTTTTTTTTTTTTTTTTTTAATTATTTAATTATTTTTTATTTTTTATTAAATCAACACAGAGTATACCCACAAATAGTAATACAATTTTTATTTTATTTTTTTGGTTAAATCAACACAGAGTTTACACAATCCCTCTAAAAATTAAGCATAGACGTACCATTGGCAGAAACACAGGAACACCCTATTCACACACCCATTTTGGATTATCAATTTCTTTTATTTTTTTTCTTTTTCTTTTTTAAGGGAATTGAGATACCAATTTCCATATAATAAAGTAAAAAAAGCAATCCAATAAACTTTTCTCACAAGCCCAGAAATAGTAATACTCTGTTTTATTTTATTTATTTATTTGTTTAAATCAACACATAGTATACACATCCCTCTAAAAATTAAGCATGGAGGTCCACAACAAGAATTGAAACAAAATATGAATGAAATTAAAAGGTGGTATATTAACCTTCTTCTATCATGCACCTTATTCAACCACAAATATCCACAAGAACACTCATAAGTGGAAACTATGGAGATTTATGGAACAAGAGCTCCCAAATCTCGGAGAAGGCTTCCACAATAACTCCATGATATTCCCTCGAATTTAGAGAGAGAAAACACAGCAAGAGCTGCTCCAAATCATCGGCCTCAAACGTCTGTTTCTCCAATATCATCTCCAACATCGACCTCTTGAAATCCTCATATGGGTCCTCCGACCTCTTCACCACCGCAAAGCTCTCCGTCGCTTTCCCCTCCACCATCGCCAGCGGTGCTTGCCGCCTCACAATAGGCTTACTCGCCGGAGACACACTTCCCGATGACCGTGTCTTTTGTAAAACATTAGTTTTATTATGTTTTCTTCTACTTCTCAGCTTAATGGGCTTCTTCAATGAATAATCTAAATCTTCATGATTTTCCTCTTTCTTCTTCTGGTTTGTCTCACTCTCATTCTTGGAGCTTGCATCCTTACTCGGCCATGTTTGGCCGTCGGAGCCACCGGAAGCCGGTGATTCGATATGGGGTGTAGGCGATGATTGTAGATTGAATGAATGTTGATTTGGCGTGGATGGTGGTGGGTTTGGATATTTGAAGGAAGGAAAAGAGATGTCGAATGATTTAGGGTTGCGCGGAGAGAAGAGTAAGGTTGATGGTGGCAATGGACTTTTTGGGAAAGAAGAAGGGTGTTTGGGACGACAGAATTGGAATGAAAAGAGAGAGAATCGAAGCTTGAAGCGTTTGTCCATTTGTGGGATGTGAAGATTGAATTATTGGTGGTGGTGGATAATCTGAGGAAAAAGATGACCAATTTAAGCTATAAATATAGAAGTATATATAACACAGTCAGAAAGGTAGAAAGAGAGGCCGGCTGAGACTTTGGAAAGGCGAAGAAGGAATCTGAGTGATGATGATATCAGATTTAATTCCTTGTCAAGTTGTCATCATTATTATATTAGACTAGAATGAAATATATATATATATATATTATATACACACACATACATGTATCATTATACTGCATATTATCAGCAATAAAAAATTATGTATCCATGGTAATCATGGCCTTAGAAAATATCCTATTCAAATAGTTAAATTTTATTTTATTTTATTTTTGACAATAAACACATACCCACTTTTGATCTTATGAAACTAGAAACATCTGCCTTCTATAATTATATATATACACATGCTAAACTACTCGACGAGGGCATGAATTCGTTAATATCCGTTGTATATGATAACAACCATGTTATTTAAATCTAATAATTTAATCCAAAATTTAATGGACGGATTTTTATCTTTAATAGAAATTCTGATTAAGATGTATGACCAAATTAAATTATTAGGTTTGATTTGCATGGTGCTTATTGGTGAGTGTAGGGGTGGCAAAAATTCCCAATCTGGTGGAGAACCGCTCTGCCCCCGCCCCATTTAAAGCGGGTTTGGAGTACCGTTTACTTAAATGGAGTGGGGATGGGGGTTTAAAAAAAAAACCGGCCGGTTGCGGGGCGGGAGCGGGGGACTAAGATTCCTGCCCCATACCCGCCCCATAACTGCCCCGTTTAATATTTTAAATTATTAATTTATCCTACCATGTTAATATATTTACCAAATTAACCTCCACTCTCTCTCTCTCTATATATATATTAGAAACCCTACACTTAACACTTCCATATATATATATATATGTGTGTGTGTGTGTGTTTGTGTGTATGTGCTATGATTGTGTTTAAATAAAAATATAATCAGTTATGGGGCGGGTGATGGGGCGGGGGCGGGGCAAGTGGGGTGGGGGCGGGGGCGGTTATGGGGATTAGAGGCAAAAAATTAATCGGTTATGGGGCGGTTTTGGGGGCACCAAAATTAAACGGGGGCGAGGATGGGGAATGGGAAACCCGCCTCATTGCCATCCCTAGGTGTGTGTCGAATGCAACAAGCTAAAATGTGTTAAGTGGCCAAGTTTAAGTTTGTAAGAGCCACTACCACCAATACTACTAACGTAGTTAGGGTGAATAGGGATCGTCCCAAGAGAAATGGAAGCTATGTTAATTGTGGAAACAAGGTCGGATTAATAGGTCGAGTGATCAAAATTTGAGATGGTTGGTTGATTAAGCTATACACTAAATTAAACAAATTCAATGCAAATCAAGCAATAGTAAATTAAAGATAGAGATAACAAAAGAGAGAGAGAGAGATCTTGGGACTTAGAGGTCACCATTAAACATCACCTTCTAACACTCTAATATATAATAGATGAGGGGAAACATGTGTTGCAACTTAAGTGTGTATTCTTGATTGAATCAACAAGCATGGATGACCAATTAAGTATACATTGTCTAAACAACCTAATGAATAGCACAATATATCAAATCAAATCATTAATCATTCTTTTAAGTTCACAATCCAAACACATCAGATGGTTAAAGAAATATACTACTTGCATTCATAAGTATGGAATATCAAACAACAAGCATGGATTGTCCTCTTGTAATACCCCTAGTTTTCAAAAGGATAAAATGGGAATTTAATTTTGATTATCTAAGTGACTTATGTACTTATTTGACTAGTTGTGTTTATTGTATTTGTTTAAATTAATTGATTGATTAATTGTGTGTTTAAATTAATATTGTTTAAGTGTGTTTTATTTTATTTTTCATTTGACTTGAAATTTTATGTGTGTTCTGTGTGGTTTTTTAGTCATAATTATTTATTTATTTTCATAAATTATGTTTAAGGGTAATTAATTAATTAGTTAGTTAATTTTATTCCAGATATATGTATAATGAACGTAACTGTTGTGATCACTTGTTTATTACCATGTTGGGTGATAATTAGGTTTAGGGTGTTATGATTAAGTAATTAGGTAGCCGACTTGTAGTTGGGCTGGACTTAGGGTTAGGATTACTGGATTTGGGATTAGGGTTTCAGAGGAGTCTATATATATATAACGATATATGTTGCAAGGGTTTTTGGGAGAAAACCCTATTCACGTAGGGGTAATTTAAGAGGAAAAACAGAGATACATAGAGAGGGTTGTATACACTTCAATGTGTATATTCTTGTGTAGTCTACAAGGGTTAATATAAAACATTATTCACGTAGTATTAATCTATGAAGCTAAGGAGGAAGAACAGAGGAATGGAACAATGGTCGGAGGTGGGAGCAGTATAAGAGAATTCTGAAACTTAGAGACGATGCGGCTGTAAGGTTTCAAAACGAAATCTAAAGGCAAGTTTCATTTTCTCCTTCCTGTAAACTTGTGTTCTGTGCATTCTAAATAGACTCCAGGAATTTAATTAAAACTTTTAAAACAAATTTTATGCATATTAGTTTAGTCTGAAATTTGGTTAACGTATAATAACTGAAGATGGCTTTCCTTGCATAAATTGTTAGATTATGTATTAAACCTCTGTAAATTAATTTATAATGGAATGTGAGGTGTTGTTAGGATGGTTAGGAAGTTAATTAACCTTTATAATGGAATTTTGACACATGTGATCAGACTTTAGATTGTTCATATGTTCAGTTAACTGTGATTGGCATTTTTGGATACGGTTTTGTTTTGTTTTAGATTTTTGTCAATTAATGCATGCTGGATGGTGAGAAGTTTCTAGGGCTTTAAGAATTTAAATTGAACCCTAGGAATGTTAAAGTACTTGGGACAGGAACGTCGGATTTCGTCGGAAACGCAGAAAAATCATCTGACGAAGTAGAGACGAGGCAGAGGGGCTCTTAGGGGAGAGAGCCGGCTCTCCATGAGGGGGAGCCGGCTCTAGAAGCCTAGGAGCCGGCTCCAATAAAGGGGAGCCGGCTGCCATGGAAAAAAAACCCCTACGGGTGTTTTCTGCAATTTTTCTGAAGTTCAGGGGCTTAAAGGTAATTACTGGAAAGTGATGGGGGGTTTTAAATGATTAAAATTAACTTGTTAAAGCCTTCAAATAGTTGGTTTATGCTAAGGTGCTAAACCTAAATGCATGTCTTAAAACATAAGCTTATAATAGGCCTACTGTCAAGGAAGGAGGAATGCTTGTTTTGCTAAGTTATTTTGACAACTTAATTTGGACTGACATTGTAGTTATTGTTAGAATTTATATCAATGATATATTTAGCATAGTTCAATTCAGGAATGTTGGTTATGACGTCATGTACCCTTATCTAATAAGCTGCATATTGTCAGGAGTAGTGGAAGATTAGTTGCTAGTTTTGTGTTAGCAAATTAAATGGAACCCATATAAAATACTTTTTGAAGTTTCATATGATGTACTTAAACTTTGGAGTGTCATTATATCCGACACAGAATTTATAATGGGGAATTACATAGATGCCATGAGATTTAATTATAAATTTGCATGCCGTAAAGGATATGGTAGGATTTAAATGCTAGTCATCATTTTAACATTTTAAACGAACTAGTATGGATGTGTTGTTTTGGAATTCTAGTATAATGTGCAGTTTAAAATTCTGATATTCATTATATTATGTTATGAAGGATAATTGCTGAACTGTCTTAATTTCTGTTCTGTCAATTACATGGAAATGGATGGTTTAAATTGTTTATTCTTATTTTAACAATTTAAAAGGAGGATCTATGAATATAATCATATACTGGATGCATGATAGGAGCTTATCTATATTTGATTTCTATTATGTTGGTTCTGGATATACTTGATGTTCATTTTGAGTGTGCATCATGTGTTGATCATATGCATTATATGTACCGGTATGGGACGGTGATATATCAGGGATGGATTAGATCAAAAAGCTAAGTCCTACCCCTTTCATACATACGGAATGGATTAAATAAAATAGTTAAATCCTACATGGATGCATGTCCTGTCAACTAAAACAGTTGAAGGACATAACGGATGTTTGTTTTATTTTTCTGCATTAGGAAAGAATTTATATATATATTTATGGTACCGTGATACGAGCTTGAGTCTCCTGATCACGGTTAAGGTGCGTATATTGCAAAGGTTGAGTAGCTAGATATAGCTAATGTTCCCTGGTAGGTCTAGGTACTTGGCCGCTGAAAAGCGTGTTTTATATGTCACCTTCTACCTAGGCTGAATTATGTTATAGGCTAGTGAACATCCTATAGTGTGTATTTATATATCTATGGACTATTGTAGCTATTGTTGAGCTATCTAGGATGTATCTGCGTATCGGGTTTATGTACGGATTGTAGTAGGATGGAACTTGCATGTGGGCCTGACCCACCTTTATTTTTCAGGTGTTCGTGAGTACCAGGCTTAGGGTTTGATCGTGGTGATGCAGATACAGTCACTCACTCTTCCGACTAAATTGGATTTTTCTTTCTGGTTTTAGTTTTGGATTTTATTCTGTAAAGTTTTATCAGTTGAGATTATTAGGGGTCCACTAGTTGGATTCCCGAGTTGTACGGATTGGAAAGTTAATTTATATTAAAACTTTTATTTTTGGAGGTTTTACAATTAGAATTCTTTTCAGCATATCATTATTTTATTCTTAATTCAGTTTTATTCATGCTTATTTATATATTGATTGTCTGGTATCCTTCGGATCTGTGCCTGGACTTGATCACCCGTGGCTCTAGAATCAAGGGGTATCGCACCTCTCATCTAGGAAAGTAATGCATCTGCACTACAATTAATCTAAGGACATAAAAATTAAACTAATTAAGCTAAGGGAGAGGCACAATCCATCAAGAAATGAGCATGAACCATCAAACAAACCACAAGAGTATTCTAATTAAGCACTATGCCTTGACAATCTCTAGATTCATTGTATCAACACACATAGACATGCATCAACATCACAAAACCAAGAGATAAACACATGAACATCTACTCTAGCATACATAGATATATGGATAGAATGAAATGATCAATTGGAAGTATTAATCAACACAAATTATTGTCAGAACAAGATTCATATATAAATCAAGTTGC